GCAGGAGTGGGTGATGCTATAATGCTATGAATACTTAGGGAATAAAGAATGTAAGAAAAGGTGATTGCTTCCATGGAGGAGAACTGATGGGTAAAGAGAAGGGAAAAAATCCTGTACTTATAACTTGGGAGACTGACTTAAGGAAAAATATATATAGAGAGAGGATAGAACAGAGGGAGGATGAAGAAGTCTGGTTGTGATTGAACTTGATTTTGAGGTGTGCACAGAAAGTATCACTAAAGGCTCAGTAATGATGTATAAGCTGAGCATAAATTTTGAGATTCATAACCACACTGTGGTTAGCAAAACTGTAGAAATGGTAAGCTGAATTTAGGAATAAAAGTAAAGAATTTTGAAAGAGAATGATCAAGGATGAAACTCAAGGAATATCACAATTTAGAATATAAGGATAGAAAATGAAAACTAGAAAAGAGAAAAAAAGATACTACTGTAAGAAGAAATAGCAGGGAAATTTAATTGAGAAACAATACAATTTTCAACAAATGATGCTAGGGCAACTTGAATCTACATGCAATAAAATAGAGTTAGACCGCCTACCTCATAAATATTTTAAGCTTGGCTCTAAATGGATCATAGATTTTTATTTAGAAACTAAAATTCATAAAACTTTTAGAAAAAATGGCATCAATTTACTTTGTGTTGGATGAAGTAAAGACTTCTTAGAATACCAAGAGCATAATTGATGAAAAAACAGGTAAATTAGACTCCACCAAAATTAAAAACTTTTGTGTTGCAAAAGCATACCATCAGAAAACTGAAAATATAAACTGTTGCTTGGGAACATTTGCAAATTATATATTTAAAAGGAAATTGTATTCAAAATATGTAAAGAACTCTTACAAGTAAAAAAATAAAGCTTGAATGAAAAAATTTTAATAAGCAAAGAACCTGAATAAAAATATCTACAAAAATACACACAAGTGGCCACTAATCACATGTAAAGAGGCTCAATATGATAAGGTAGTACAGATTAAAATCACCTTGCAACCACTTCACACCAGCTAGCATATTTATAATGACAAAAAATTTAAAAACTGAAAATAATAATCAATGCCAATGATGTAGAGAAATTGAACCCTTTGTGTATTAATTATAGGAAAGCCCAATGGTGCAACTATTTTGGAAAACACTTTTGCATTTTCTCAAAATATTAAGCATAGAATTATATGAACCTAAACATATATCCAAGATAACTGAGAAAAAATATTTACACAGTCACTTTTATAAGGATATTCATAGTAGCACTATTCATAATAGCTAAACCAAGGGGAAAATCTTAATGTATTTTAAATAGTGAATAAATAAACAAAACATGGTATATGCATACAATGAAGTATTATTCAGCAATACAAAGAAATGACACACTGATATATGATATAATATGGATTAATCTTGAGACATAAATGTAAAAAAATTTAAGGTCACATGTAGTAATAAATAATATAGATAAAATGTCAAATACTGGGAGAATTCATTACAGACAGAAGTTTGACTACTGTTTTCCAAAACATTGGGAGAATGTGTAAGGAGAGGAGTGACAAGTGGATCCCAATGGATATAGGGTTTCTGGTGGGGATGATAAAAATATCCCAGAGTTACATAAGTGATGAAAAAATTAAGTAAATTAGACTCCACCCAAATTAAAAACTTTTGTGTTGCAAAGCATACCATCAGAAAACTGAAAATATAAACTTGGGAACATTTGCAAATCATATATTTAAAAGAAAATTGTATCCAAAATATATAAAGAACTCCTACAAGTAAAAAATAAAATTTGAATGAAATAATTTTAGTAGGCAAAGAATCTGAATAAAAATACTTACAAAAATATGTATAAGTGGCCACTGGTCACATGTAAAGATGGTGGTGGTTTTGTAACCTTGTAAATATATTGTTTTTAAATGCTGAATTATACACTGTAAAATGTTGAAATTTCTAGTATCTGAATTAGGGTTTCAGTAAAGCTGTTCAAAGAATTACCTTTTGTGTTTCCCCATCCCATCACTTTATGGAGATTCAGTGTAGCTATGTGGTTTCCCTTGTCCTTCTTTGTCAGACTTTGTATAGTTACCTCAAACAACATTTGCTTATTCTAGTATTGGAACTCAACATAGGACAAGAGATTACAGCTGGGTGAATCTGCTGTCTGCACTACTGCATCTTTAAAATTCACATACCAACTCTCTGAAACCATGAAATCAATTTTGGATTTGAGTTTTCTTACAATCATGTGGACAGAATGTCATTGGTGATGGTGACTCATGATCCCACAATTGCCCAAGAAGATAAATCTTCTGCTAAGACATACCTCTGTATTTGAATTTAGAATAATACTTCAATCCTCTAAATCTTCAGGAGTTCCAAAATCTCATGTAGGCTTACCTTCGAAGATGTGCTTCTCTAATTCTCTCATGCCCTTTAAAGTTAGATTATCTTTTTTTTTCCTTGCTTGCAGAAAGTTCAAAATAGCCAACAAACCTTTTGTTTCTTTATAGGCATCCAATACAGGAGGCACAACAGGATTTTGGGACACAGTCTAAAGAAAGTTCACTCTGTTAGTTTCCTTTCTTAGTTGACAATCTTAGGTTACTTAACTGTTCTTTTACATTGTATGTCTAGTACAAATAAATAAATTTAGGTTGAAGAAAGTCTTTTCTTTCAAAGTTATATATATATTTTTTCTTCAATAATACATATTTGGAATTCTGTAAAAAATTGGATACCAGCTGCACTATATAATTACTAAGTGACCTTGAGCAAGTTACTTGATCACTCTGTCAATTTTACTGCAAGAGAGGAAAATGATAGAATTGAAGATCACTTTTGGTTCCTATCCTTGGGACATAAAAATAATAATTCAAAGTGATTTGTAAAGAGAAATGGGTTCTATCGCTTCTCGGCCTTTTGGCTAAGATCAAGTGAGAAATGGGTTCTAGAAGTTAGTGTTATTTGCTATTATAAACATTTTTTTAAAATTTTCACTTAGCTGTATGTTTCATTTGAGTATGCAACTTCAGTTATTATCTTTAAAAATGAGCAAGAAATCAACCTTTAGAAAACTCTGATGGCAGTAAACAAGAGTTCCTATCATTTCTTGGAGTCAGAGTTCTATGTTAGCCAAGTATGGTGCCATTTTTCTCTGAAAATGGTAAGCAATTCACAGTGAGTTGATTTATATATGCCTAGTTGTATCTTTTGAGGATCTTACTATCACTCAAGGAATTGATATTCATTGCAACAATTATTACTTGTCTATTCTGGTAGCCTGAGATTTCTAAAGAAAATCTATCTGTATGAATATCTTAACCTCATTAAAACCAGAAATGAAGCACAGTAGTAAATTATATGATTAACTCTTTGCATTTTCATCATCTAAAATAAATCATTACAACACATACGTTGTTCCTAAAATAATATGAAAATGGATTTAAAGTGGATGCTTCATCTAAACTTTATTGTAAATGTCTTATCCCTGAACCAAATTATATATATGTATATATAAAATTTTAAGTATGTGCATATATATAATTTTGTATATACACATATATAAAATTATATATATACGTATATATGTATATATATATATATATATATATACACACACACACACATACATATATACACACAAACATACATACATAGTCTTTGCTAAATACTAATATAGGGTAAATGATCTAGGTGTGACATTCATGGCAATAGTTAGTTTTTCTTAGTACTTTGGAGAACTAGATATTTATTAAAAAATAAAATAGAACTCAGATATCTAAGGTCCTCACTTTCCTTACATGTAAGACAATGATAATGTGAATTTCTATTTTGTTAAGATGTCTCTTTTTTCAAGTAAAGAGAAGTGCTTTATACATTTATTTCACCAAGATATGCTATTGTAATACACACATACTCACATACATAGTACAGCACACACCAGTTAGTAAAAATCTTAGAACACACTGTGTCTCTAGGTGACGAATTCCATTTTCTACAATTGATTTTGCAAAAGGAATCTAGTATTTGGTTTGTGTTGTTGTTTTCTAGTTTAATTTTCTAAATAAAGCTTATTAAATATTGGCTGCTTCTTATAAAAGAATTGTAAAACAGAGAAAACAAATGACACATAAAATCCTCTCTCTCCAATACCATCAATTGGAGTTCAGTACTGTTAGCAATTCTGATGAATTTTTCAGTATCTCCCTGGCAGGTCTCACCTGAGGAAATGGACTCCTTCAGGTGCTTGAACATGGACCACCAGCTCCATACCCATTGCTGGTAGCTGGTAAGAACAGATAAATTGGAATCAGAGGAATATCAGAAATCTTCAAAACCCAGGAGCAGCCGACTTTTCAAGGGTCCCAAAACCTCTTTGTAGTTGACACATTCTGCTTAAGAAGCTTGAGATGGCATTATAGGCTCAGGGTGCATTTCTGGAGGCTGCTTACTCCTGCTCTCTTTCCATCCGCATCAGGGAAGTCATTATGCATTTCTAATTAGAACAATATTTTAAACACTCTTCAGAGCTCCGTTCTTCCAAGTAGGTTTAATCAGGGGAGAGACACCTTGCCTAGGACTCCAAGAGTCTGATCTTATTGAATCCACTCTCACCCCCTTACCAAACACGTCAGTTCAATTATTGGCAGATTAGATTTTTCTTTGCACCCACCCTCCACCCCCTAGTCCTCCGGAGAAAAGGGAATAAATGATCAGCTCCCGACTGGTGCTCACCCGAGTGACCAGAGTGCAGCCGGGTGACCGCAGCCGCGCGCGGGGCGATCGCTGGACACCCCTCCCTCTTCCCGCGCCGCCTCCAGCTGGAGTGACAACGCGCCCTCTGGGCTCCGGAGCCGCGGAGCTGAACAATCCCAGGCAAGGCTAGCCTCACCGGTGACATCACTCTCGAAGATACTCCCAGCTCCTAGCTCCTGCCTTAGCTGGCGTCCGTCCGTTTGTCCGTCTCCATCAGTCAACCACTGGAGAGTGCTCATCACTTCCTGGGGACAGAGCCGGGCACTGAGGAGCGACAGGACCCGGAGGAGGCAAGGCAGCAAGGGAAGGAGGACCCCGGCAGGCGACAACATGAAATTCAGCCCCGCGCACTACTTGCTGCCTCTCCTGCCAGCGCTGGTACTCAGCACCAGGTGAGTCCAGGAACGAGAGTGACCTGTGCCAAGGGGCGCTGCCTGTGCGTTGTAAGTCCTACTGCGTGTCACCAGAGAGGGTCAAAGGCACTTTAACAGTTTGCATCTCCCGCCTTAGAGAATTGCTGTAAGATTTGGTCTCAGACATCCTTCTGGGAGAACAGATACCCTTTCTAATTAACCCAGTCCCTTGGAGAAAGTCTTAGGATTGCTTCCAGCAGAGACCAAAAGCTTCTTTTCAGAGGGAAAGAAGGCATTTTTTTCCTCTATAGCTCTAGTAGCAGTGAACAGAAAACATGCGGTAATAGAACAAAATTAAGAAAGGAAAGAGAGAAACAAGAAGGGGATTGTCACAAGGCAGTGTCTTCACTGCTGGAGCTGTTGTAATAGTTAAAGAACTCACCATCCTGCTTCAGTGTGCCTGATTTTAAGATATAGAAAACCAGGGCAAACAGAAGGTGCTAGAAGATTTGAAGACTTGTGCAAAAGTTCTTGGACTAGTAAAATGGTCTGTTTGACTTCTTGGGCAGGCTTAGTGATAGGTGTTTTGTTTGGGCTGTCTTGTGCATAGGTCTAATTAAAGAGCACAGAAGGCAATTAAAAGTTAGAAAACATTCTCAGAGTGCTGATGCAGAGACCCAAGTCAGAAACAATTAAGCACTGTACTCCATCACTGGGCATAGATGAGACTTTAAGGCTTAGTACAGAGGAGCTATTTTTAGTGGAGATTTAAAATGCAGTGATTGAGAAGAGTTTTGTGACTTGCTAGTGTTGACCAAGTCCAAAGTTGGTGAGGGGCTTGCTTTCTTCTTCCACAAGCATAACACAAGGGTGGACTGTTTCATTGCCCAGGACTGGGTCTTTATTCTGCATGCCCTCAGCATCATATTGGCAGAAACCACTCTGCCTTGGCTACTATAAAATAAAATAACACACAGAGGATGAGGCTTCTTTCAAATCTACATGAATAGAAACATTGTCTGATGGTGCATTTGATAGAAAATAAGAAAGGAATATAGAATTGCTTATAATTCTGAAGTGGAAAAAGACAAAGAAAGCTCATTACCACTTTAAAATGAAAATGGTAAAAATTTTTAATCCCATTCCTAATTTATACACCTTCTCCTCAAAACTTCTCAAAACTTTGTTATTTTGTGTGTGTGTGTGTGTGTGTGTGTGTGTGTATGTGTGTTGGAGCTGTTTCATTCAGCCCCATTAAGTGGATGGATTTAGTCTTTCCTTGCACACAAAGCCCAGGTGAATTTCTCAGACTAAAACACAATTTAAATTTTATTTTCCTTAAGGTTTGCTTGTCACTTTGGTTCATAAGATGCACATGGTTTTAAAGAATACCACTTTACCTCTGAGTATTATCATAACTTTCTCCAAATGCATAGACAATTTCAATATTTGTGTTTAGCTCTAAACAGATTATTATATATCACAGTGATTCTTTGAATTCTTGTCATTTACTCTTATGTTCTAGTTTAATAATTTCTTGTGTAGTCTTCTAGAGAAAGGAAATTTTCAAAGTTTATGCACTTAAGTAGACACCAGTCAACATATGCTTAATATAGTAAACATTTAAGTGATGGAAACCCAGTGTACAGTGATTTTAAAGGGAGTAAGAATTTTCAAACTTCCAAAAGTATATTTGTATTTTAAAGATGTTATAATTTAAGTGACTGAGAAAGCTGTAAATTCTCATCTCCAAAGTTTTAGGGGTTAATAATATAACCACAAATAGCCATATTCTTTCTCTGATATTAAAGTGTTAATTTCTATAAAAACAAATTTCTTTAATAAAAGTCAATACATTTATAACAAAAAAATTGAAAGTCATTTCTTGATCTCTTTAGATATAAAACTTCTGCCATGTTTGTATGTATAAAATTGTGACAGGTCTTTAAATTTTTCAAAAAGAGAATACTAAGCTTGAAAAGACAAAAATTTCATAATCAATACCACATATTGTTAATGTGAATACACTGTAGGAATTTATTTTACTGGATATCCATATTACCTTGTGATGGTGAACACATTTCCAAATTAATGTGCTACTATCAGTATGTCACTTTGCAAAAAAGAGAATATGTTTTAAAGAAGTCTAACAGAAGGCCATTTTCATTGCAATATTTGACAGTTCTTAAAGGCATATGGATAATGTGCAGGTTAGAACCCAAACTGAACAGCTTTGTGGGAACAGTTGCATTAGTGAGGTTGAACTTACTGTCCTGCTGTGAAAAACTGTGCAGCTCAGTCATGGCCACCTGTGACAGTGAATTTTCAAGCCAAAGACTACTGTTAACTTTGTTTCTTAGTGAGTGGTCCTATATGTGAAGCAAATGGCATTTCACGTTCTTAGGCTGTGTAGAATGCCTTAGCAGAGGGTGGTAATTACTGTTGTTGTTTTTTTTTCCTATAACCTTTGGGTAATGTCACTTGTCTTTTAATGTCAACTTCCTTGTAAAGTGTGGGGAATATGCAGCTTAGACCCTTTTGCATAATAAAAAAGTATTTCTTTTATCTCTTACTCTGAATATAGCTCCTCCATACTTTAGTATTTTCCCCCAATAAGTCTAAAGTTGGTTTCTATTGTAAACTAAAGCAAAAAGTTACTGAAAGAAATACTGCAGTTAAGAAAAGTCACTATTTGATAGTATTTATGCTAAAGGAATGGAAACTAACACAATTCTGAATTTTAAATAGATAATTTTGAACAGAGTTGTTTCTGTTTGCTCCTCCTCTTCCTCTCATGTGCTGTAGCAACTCTAGACTCTGACTCACTAAAATCCCCAAATTTCATTGGAAAAAAAATGTAATTATCCTCCAATTAGAGTTGCTTTTTGCTATGAGAAAGATAAATGTCACTGTCAACAGTAGCCAAGAATTTTTCTCTGTTTTTCTGGTAAATTCCATAGAGTCAAAAAGAGCTGTTTAATTTACTGGTATATTGTCTTTCTTGTTTGGAAAGTACACATAAATTCAAAACGTCAAGTTAATAATATGAATAATGTAGCTAATACAGAGACCCATTTAACCTGTGCACAAATAAATGTGGTCAAAGAAAGCAAACATATGTGTTGGTTTAATAGCTTCAGAGTAGAATGACTGTACTTTTTAAATAGCCTCATTCTGTAGAGGTATTAAATTGCTATTCCAAGGCAGGCAGTAATTCACTTCAGAAAGAAGTGTAGGTATTAAAAAGAATAGTAGGGTGAAAAATTCTTTAGAAGTTCTTGGTGAAAAGGGACTCATGGGGCACTGGAGAAGGTTTGTTCTTTAGTCTCCTGAATCTCTGTTCCTTTAGGCTGTGGCTATATTCTTTATGCCTCTGGATTGTTAAGTTTTAAATGACTTAATGGGGAGAGATGTAGCAGGGAAGAATGAAGGTCCACATACTTCTGGTGATTTTCCATTAAGGAAGAACTCTGAGCAGATGGTTGGTTATAGTCTTCCCAATAGGAGTCACCTTAGAGATCTCTCCTGGGCCCTCTGATCAGCACTCACACCACATGTTTGCTTGGAGTCTATGTTTAGATGATATTATATATTGAGAATGCCCCAGGCCCCTGTTTGTTCTGTGACTTACTCTAACCTCAGGATGAAGTTTAGAAAAGGACAAAGATAAAGATAACAGTAAACACAAAATCAGTACCCACACTTACACACAATTATTTTTTGAGACAGCATCTTGCTATGGCTCCCAGGCCCCGCCTTGAACTCATGATACTGCAGCTTAGCCTCCTAATTAGCTGGGCTCACAGGTATGCTACGCTGCATGTGAATTCACTCACAAATATTTTATATTTGATGTGGGAGGCAGTCTCACTCTAATTCCTCTGGAATAGTGTGAGGTAATTTGTTTTTTTCCCCTAATTTTACACAGCGTGAGCTACACATGACCCTTTATGTGAAACCATCTAGGCTACCCTGATGAAATTCTTTGTGAAATGTATTGGAATATCCTATGTAAATAAGTTAGAGAAATAATTTTCATAAGAGATTTGGAAAGAAGAGATATTACAACATATGAGGTTTCAATTCTATCCCTGAATTGTCTATTGTTGAAACAATTTATTTGGAGATTATCTTTGGGGATTAAATTCTTTCTATGACTAAATGGTAGCGACACCCAAAACATTTATGTGTTGGCTGTGCAATTGTCCCAAAATGAGTAAGTGGTTGAAGAGAACTTGACCTTCCAACCAGGAAGTAAACATCAGTGGAACCACTGAGGAGTTTGTGAAATGAAATTTTCTCACATGCATTTTGAGACACTTTATGTGTGTGTGTGTGAGTGTGTGTGTGTGTGTGTGTGTTTGTGTGTGTGTTCCTGAATGACTTCTAGAGGATTTGTTATGATTACTTGAACAAATGGGACTAAACCATTTAAGGAACCTGATTAAACAGACACTGTTCAAGATTATGTTTTTTTTCTCTGAGGAATTAAAAATAAAACTACCTGAACTTATCTTTATCCCTTCAGAGTTGTCTGTTAGGTTTTCATTATCATATAATGAGTGTGCTCACAAGCAGTTAGTTATTGCTTGAGGCGTAAGGACAATGAAACAATAGAATATATATATATATATATATATATATATATATCCCTAGAACTAGTTATATACACAAAAAGGTATCTATAGGAAAAAAATTGGATGAAAGACAATATCAAAATTTTATGCAATGTTGTACGTGTATATGGAGAAGAGAGTCAATAATGCCAATTTAAGGAGAATCAATAGTAACTTCTACTTTCTAAGGATGATGAGGTGAATAATATTTTGTAATCAATGTTAGTATCATACAACAATTGCTAGTTGTATGATAGTATGGAAATTGCTTATCATGTATAATCGTGGTACCCATGAGGAAAACAGTGTACCTCATGGAACTTACTTATTATGTTGTTTTAAAGACTGAATGAGGGCTGGAGGTTAAGCAGCATTCAGAGCACTAACCTCGCATGTGTGAGGTCCTACATTTGTTCCCCAGCA